TGTGGGCTCTTGCTGAATGAAGCTAGGACAGCCACTGATGTTTCTTCATTAGTGACAGTTTTCTTGCGTCCACATTTTGGCAAATCCAACACTGAACCAGTTTCACGAAACTTAGCAAGCAGTTTGCTAACTTTAGCATGGGAGATGGGTGGTCTCGTAGGGTGTCTTGCGTTGAAATCTGCTGCAATGACCTGGTTACTGCGTTCACCAGATATTAACACAATTTCGATCCACTCCTCACGTGTTAACCTCTTCGACATGTCAATGGCTGTGAACAAAGAGAAACTTGTAAATAACTCATGAAAGAATAAAGTTACATTGAAACCAAGCACACCATTGTTATACTTGTGACATTACCAATAGGGCTGCCACGACTAATCAACTAGTCACGATTACGTCGACTATCAAAATCGTCGACGACTGATTTATAGTCGACGTGTCGTATGAAGCTTTGTAAGATCCCAAAAGATGCAGGAATAAGTAGTAGGATTTAAGAGTGTAATAACGGACTGAAACAGAAGATGGCAGCACTTCATGTACAAGGATGCCAGCTGCCGTTAAACCCCGAAGAAGAAGAAGAAGAAGCTCTGTCCCAGAATTTATTTACAGCTTAGTTTCCAACAATGGCGGCAGCTAGTTGTGTGGATGCCCTCAGAGGGCATCCACACTATTGAGTTCCTGTTTCTCTTTAAACTTTATTCTTATAGTTGCTCCACGTTTTTCGGCAATAACTACTCCCTCAGTTTTCAGCTGATTTTCTCCGTTCAAATGCTAAACTGTTCTGCTATTTCTGCTAATTCCAGCTATATCTTTTGGTGTTTATTGCTATTATACTTTTTAAAATATTCCCATTTTTTCCTTTTTTTTGTCCCATTGAAATGAATGGAAAACTTCCACAATTCTGCTAAAACTTGCTTGTTTTTCAAACTTAACTACTTCCTCATACTTTCACCTAGAAACTCCATTCAAACTTTAAAACGTTCTCAAATGATTGGGCTTTTCGTGTGTGATTCAGCTTTTTCATATCTGTTACCTTTTTCATTTAATGCCTCTTTAAGTTTTCAGTTGCAGCTTTGTGATTTTTCAGAAAATATACAGTGGGGCAAAAAAAGTATTTAGTTGGGGGAACTTGCACAATCGGTGGCTGACTAAATACTTTTTTGCCCCACTGTATGCGTTGTTATGGTTGCTATGCAATTAACTCAGAGTGAGAGCTGGTGCTTTCTGAAGTTTCTCTTCATGTCCAAACAACTTCTTGCTACTCGCTCAATTTCCACTCAACTTCCACAAATTATACATCAAAACGTATTTTTGCTGGCTTTAAGACAGTGTCACTATAATTATCGTGCGAGTTACGGTTTTTTCACAATTTGCCTCGAAGTGACACAAGATCTAAAAACTCCCCATTTAAAGTCTATGGGGAGGTTGTGAAACTCAGAGCTCAAATACTGAAACTGAAGGCATTTTCAAATCGTCATATCTCCTTAATGAAGCGAAATTAAGACATGAGGCTTGTCCCCGTATATCTTCAGACACTCCTGACGCTCACAATTCAAGAATTATTTTCTCACCTATTACCGTACTGAGATGAGTTAGACTTGTTTGAGGGTAGGAAATCTGTCCTCCTCTCAGTTTTCCAACTCCGAAAATGAAGCCGTTTCTTCTCTCGTCATATCTTCCCGATGGAGTTACAAAGAGCTATGAAAATCGCATTCAAAGTTCACCAAAGTCCGCTGATTCACCCAGTGCAAGAATTTTGCTTCTATCCCACCTAGTTTTTGAGTTACACGACATTTTGTAACTCCAAAAAACTGCGTTTTTCGCCTCTGAGCGCGATCTAATTCTGGCTGCTCATCACCCTGTTTTCCAGGCGCCCGCTCTCTTTCCCAGTGGCGCAGTTGGTAATAAAACGGATCTGAAGATCAAAGGTCGTGGGTTCAATTCCACCTTGTCCACATGTTTTCTTCCACTACAAATTAATACAGTATCACAGACCAGTAACTCATATTGATAATTTATTACAATTAAGCAAAGTTTTATGATTTTAGCAGCTTTTCTAATATGGACCTTAGATTCTTGTTAACAGTCCATGGCAGAAATACATACAAGTACACAGCCTGCTGAAGCACACAGAAGCAGTACCTCTGATTAGTGTACTGAAATTGAGCAGAACCAGGTTGTTGTGCCTCTTTTCACCAGAAAGTTCAGTGTTTTCTCAGCCTCTTCTGCTGTTTTTAATAAGAATTTTAAGCTTTTTCACCTGTTTTCAGTTATATGAGAACCAGTTTGGCTCAGTGAGATGAGTATGAGATGAAATTCTGCTGATTTACCTCTTTTCTGCCAAATCTTCAATCATTTCACCTCTTATCAGCATAATTCTCAGCAGCTTCTGCTCTTTTCAGCAGAATTCTGATCATTCACCTCTTTTCAGCAGAAATTCTGCTGATTGAACTCTTTTCAGCAGAATTTTCACCTCTTTTCTGCCCAAATTCTGCTCATTCACCTCTTCTGCAAAATTTTCAGCCTTTTCACCTCTTATTATCACAAATCTCAGCTGTCTTCAGAAAAAAATTCTTTTGAGCAGAAATTCTGCTGATTCATCTCTTTTCAGCGCAACTTTCTGCTTCTTTACCTCTTTTCAGCAGAAATTCTGCTGATTCACCTCTTTTCTG